CACATCTCCTCCTTTCGTCTTATCTCATAAATTTGCTGAGTTATTTTGATTGAAAAGCAAACCCTACATTCCTTTTTCTGCAAGCAAAGGCATAATATACAACGAAATTTGATGCATATTCTTGCGTAACTTTAGGTCGTTCTCTCCCCTCTGCCACTGGGCTTAACTTACTGTTGCCAATGCTTCTATTACAACGTAGAATTGGTTTAGTCACCTAAATTTTGAATTTTACTTTATGCATTTAGCGCATCATTCAAACTGTAAGAACTGGAGAATAGCAGTATTTTACGAAATGGGATTTTTCTTTCTCCGCCCACTTTTACTCATTTACCCTCGTCTCTCTAGGTACACTCTAGCATTTAATCTTCCAAGTAACGGTGCAGAATGCCGACTTCTAATTTGATGAGACATTGTCCCAAATATCCCGTACTCAGTGGTAAATACTGCCTCAAGGTAACCTTACCCAGTAACTCGGTTCTTTTTTTTCACCTCGGCTTTTCTTTCTAATGCTAAGTTGTACAAAATAACAACGCCTGTGCGATGTCAGTATTCACATCAATGGAATACCTAAGTAACATTTTGCTTTCTAGTTAACAAAACGATTTTTTTTTCATTGTTTCTGGTGCACTTGGCCTCCAGGAATGTTATTGGTTCGCCAGTTCGACAGTTAGCATTACAATTCAGTACGCCCTGCCCTTTTATTGGTGTATTAAGGAGTATAATTCTCAAGCGTAACATCAAATGCCAATCAGAAGGAGCGGCTTGATCCTACGTAATGTGCCAAATGATGCGATTGGCTGCGACTTGGTAAAAACTCTAATCGCTCATCTCGACAGCAAGCCTTCCATAGTGTTTGTTCTAGCGCATTAAAACATAGAGTGATAGAATAAACTATAACATGTTGGAATAGTGCTCGTTTATAATATTTAAAAAGCCTTAAAATCCAAAGTAATCTAAGTAAAGTGAAACCCTGCGTTAGAGCCTGTTTTTTGGTCGGGAAAGGGAAGCCGTTAAGAAAATCCTTGCTAACTAACAAAGTTTAGGTAATTTTTTTGTATAGTACAGAGCATCGTCAATAGGCATAGTTAGTAAATTTGGCAATGTTTTTGTTTAGTTGTACTCCGAAAACCGAGTTTTATCTGCGGATAGCCTAACTGTTCTCTGACTTGATAGGCTGTTAGTGATTTTGCATATTTTACTACATTTACATGATTTAGGCATTTTATTCATTAAGCGGCCTGGCTAATGAACCACGCTCATGGTGTTCGTAATTTAGGAGAATTTGAACAAATTTTAAAGCTTTTAGAGCATAGAACATCAAATGACTATTTTTAGCATAAAACAAAATGCTTTTAGCTAATCGGGTGAACTTTAGGCCACTGTTGCAGTGTCTAGTGTTTTCCTTCGCTTAGGTAGATTGCCCAACGTTTGGTATACTTTCGCACTTCAAGGTAGTTTTTGGTCCCTAAATTAACAATTTAGCTTAGAAATAGTACTTCTCATTTTGACCTGTAAGACGACTAGTATGTGCGCCTCCAAACAAGATGCATGTAAACTACAAAATGTATCAATCCGCACTGCAGAGACCTGAGTCTTCCCTAGATCTTTAGCAATCTGCGAATTTGCACGATGTGGAGGACATATACAAAAAGCATTCACAATACTACCAATGTCCACACAGCACATGGTGGATTGACCA